TATAAAACAGTGTCTGGGCATGTTAAACCTCAGTTGTAAAACTTTTAGCCAATCCTAGTCGAAGGTGTCAATTTCAGTACCAGGTTATTCCAATCGCTGTATCTCACATTTGACAAATCATAAGATGATAAGGAAAGCATGTGACGAAACGTTGTTTTCCGGATTTTACAATATGAATGTGGGTGGGGCTTATTATAATAACTGCCATTTTATGTAGAGGTTGTATTTAGTATTGCCAATAGTGCTTTTCTATAAGCATTAGAAAAGTTGCTTCTGGAAAAAACTGCATGGGATGTACGTGACTTTTATTATTTTAATATAGTACCTTAAGTCATGCTGCATCGTATATCTGTTTATATTAATCATTATATTGAAAAATTAACTCAAAATAGATATATAGAAGTTGATCCACGATTGTTAAGGTTAAGAGCTATTGAGAGGCAAAGTCTTTACATGAATTAGACTTAGGGCTTTGAACTGAAAGAGTTTGTGATTTTTTATATTCTTTTGAATTTAAATTTGTAGTTTTAAGTTCAATAATTTAGCATAATTTTATATTTAGTTCATAATAATAATAATAATAATATGATTCAGTATGTAGAATGATAAACTTGTGTGATTTGTACGTAATACTATTAGTACCAGTATCACATAAGAATTTTATATTTTCCCTTCTTACAATCTTTGCTTTGTAGTGAGACCCGCACTTCTGTTGTTATTGCGTTAGATTTAAAACAGTCTAACTGATATATATAGTTTATTCTGATATTTTGCAAATGGTTCCAAACTCAGTGTACAAGTTACAACAATAAAACCCATATGTTTGTTGTGAAACAGGCTTAATACGTTCATCTCAATAATACAGGGAAGCTATGACATTCTCACAGTTGGGGTCTCAATACACTGTAGAGCTTAAGTTTCGAATTCCAACGTAAATCTTGCCTATAATGAGAGGAATGTGACCAGGACTAATCTTTTATGTGCTGTAAAGTAGTTTTCTTTGTAATTTATGGTGTGTGTATCCTTTGGTAATCTCTTGTAACAGGATGTATCAAGTAACTAGGGTCAGGCGGTGTTATTCAAACCACCTGTACTGTAAACTGTTACATACATTTCCTAGTAGTGGCAATTAGTTTTGTCTGTATAGTGAAACAACATACACGGACATATGTTGAAATAAACTTGTTTGAATGTTCAAAGAAATGATATTCAAGTACCGAAAAGCTTTCTTACTATGATATCTACAGTAATGTTGAAAGGGCCTGCGCTGGACTTAACGAGAGTGACCACCAACAGGCATGATAGTTACGGCAAATGTACAAAGTCCACGCTGCTAACCTCACGATTTATTCAGCACAGTAAACAAAAGTATGGCTGCCATACATAAACATAAACTTGAAATCCTAGTTAAAAATAAAAATACACATTTATTGTTTACGTTTATTTACAAATATTATTTTCGGTCTTGTATATTACTTGAAACTATAAGGAGAGTACGTGATTATTAAAAATACATAAAATTTGCATTTTATGGACGATATAATTTTTTGGGGATTTCAAAATAATATACTGAAACATAAAAAGTAATCAGTTCAAATCTGGAACAAATATAAATATTGTAATCATTTCTTATAAATACCATTTCCTAATGTAATTTTCCAAGATATTAAAGATCATAATGCAAAATAACTAAATCTATCAAAAGTAACAAGCTTTATGTTTCTTAAACTACATGCATTTATGAAAGTTCTAATGAAGTTTCAAACAGTTTCATCCACTAGTTTTATTGTTGGAATGAAATATAGCAAGACATTAGTTGGCTACTCAGAAAGTTAGTAGCTAGTGGTCATCAGGTTAATGTAAGTGAAAAAGGACATAGGTATATTTTCACAATTGGTTTATCTTAATGAAGTAAAAAATGACAATACTAATACAAACATATTATCATGTTAGTATGATATCCTGTAAAAGTGGGTTTTTGGGATATCCAAAAAAAAAATAAATATGTAATTTGTGTGTTATAAACTTGACATTTGGAAAAAACAAAGTCTCAACTACTACTGTGTCTGTCATATCACAGCTGGCCTAAACAGTCCTGGTATTGGGTGGAAGGCCTCATCACTGTATATAATAGATATAGTGTGATTGACATAAATACTTTACTTTCCCTCAGAAGTTCTCACTAATAATTCCTAATTCTTAAACAAATTCATTCACAAGCATTTATAAAATGAACTCATAATAATGACACCTACTGATATATGGATGTCCTGCAACTAATTTCAGAATTTGAATCTCTCGCAAGGTTGTTTCTCTTAATGATAGACCCTGAGAATCATCTATATCACCACTTATATCAATAATCTTGGCAGCAAAATCTTTTCCAGTTTCTTTTTCCACACATCGACGTACTGTACTGCTAACTCCCCTATAGGAAGATTAAAACATACATGATTCCTGCAAACACATGCATAATCAGATGAAGAAGCAAATGGACAGACAGATAATACTATATGAGCTATCTGACAGTACTTCCCTATGCTTTAAAATCAGTTTGCTCCCAGTCATAACTGGTTTTAAATGTGATTACTCACATGTCCAATTATATATATATATATATATATATATATGGATGACTAATCAGTTCATTTTAAATGTGTCAAATAGAGGGGTTAGTTTGTCTTGTTGTTAAACAAAAAAGTGCTTTTTAGCATATATGTCTGCAAACATACTGCTGAGGCACTGGGGGGCAGGAGGGGTTAACAGAATTTGGAAATTGTTGTATAAAGATGTGTTGGACCAATGATTTGTTACTCACACCATGCATATGGCAGATTTTATATGACACACCTTCAAACACTTCTAATGCATGTCTTTACTGCATCAGGAGTGTGATGTGTTAGTTAATCACAGTGACACTAATTACTGCCTCATTGAAGGGGGTTATGTTTACCTCTAAATAATGAATACACAAGATGCAATACATATACATCTGGGTATATTAGAAAGAACCAGCATATGCTGTAATTTTTGGGATGGAGACTGAACAGTAAGAAATTTATACAAATATGTTTATTATTTTCTCTCTTGATACAAGTTTTGATCCTATTTTTGATCATATACCTCAAATTGTTTGTTATTAATTGCAAAGCTACACAATGGACTCCATGTGCTCTGTCCACCACAAATATCAAAAGCCAATTTTTTTTAAGTGTTGTAAGTCCTCAGACTTACCACTAAGCCACAAGGGGACATCTCAGCACAATATCAACAAGAAAGTTAACATTTATCTATATCAAAATGTATTTCCAATAATACTTATCTCCTCTCACACTTTAGCTTTATCCCAACAAAAATTTCTCTTCTCTACCCATCTAAACATTGGTATGAATCTTATCTTGCTTGCTCCAGCCTTTATACCCCACTATATTGCCCATAGCAATTTAAATCTTGTGATTCTCTCCACCTATGTCAATGCACTCCCTATCCCAGATCTGTACATAAGCTCCCCATTATTACTTCCTATTCACTTTTCAAGATGGTCCAAATTAACAACCTGAAATCAGCCATTTCATTGGGAGGAAGGGCTGGAGAGTGTGAAGTGAGGTAAGTATTATCAAAAATACTTTTTCTGTATAGGAAAATGATAATTTCCGAAATACACTTACCTCCTCTCACACTTTAGCGAGAACCCCACATTGACAAGGTGGAGGGACCAGTGAGGGCAAGATCCACACTGAAAGCAACTGTGTAAAAAAAAGAGATGTGCAAAAAATGAGATATATCAATAGTACACCAGCAGCTTCTGCGCTCTTTCTGGAACAGGTATGCTCTTTGCCCGGACCACATTAAACTAAGTCTTGAGCGGTAAAGGCCAACCAGCCACAGATGCAAAATCCCTACATCTTTAGAAAAACATGAATTCTTCCAGGTCCCATGTCTCATCAATGGAATTATAGGGCTGTGGACCCAAATTGAGATTCATGGAGCTGTGGCCACAATATGAGGACCACATTACTTTTGATCTTATTTAGTAATGTGGTATTGTTGGAACCCAAACTGAAAGTTACAAAAAGTTGCATGTTGAGCCACCAGAATTACAAAGAGAAGGTAAGCAACATCAAAGTGAATGAACCCTCACCCAAATCTCAAGATGCACAAAATGCAAAAAATCCAAACTCGAAATTATGGGACCTGTCTCTCCTCACTAACCTGAAGAAACAGAGATTACCCAGTCTGGGATTATGAACATAAATCCTAACTTCTCAATCTGAGAGGCAAGGAAACACCTCCTGCCCTTGGAAGTACAAGGAGGATGTGAAACGAACATAGTTCAACCAATGGCACAGGAAGTGACGTTACACATGCAGAATTATGAGGAGTCAAGGACCCTCTTCCATGGTCATCGAAATAAAGAGAATGACCAAAAAGAGGGGCCACACACATCCCAACTGGACAGTGAAAAGTCATCTCTGAACTGGAAGGACAAGGAGACTCCTGCATAGGTTGGTCCTGCCCCTATCATACATCTGGGAATACCATTCAGAGTTATTGGTAGGAGGGCACCCAGCTTTGCCCTCTTCTCCTTGAGTGGAATAATGAATATAAGCACCACTCAGGAGAAATAAACCTCTGTCCTCCATTCCAACAACTGGAAAGTGGGAGTGGTAAGGACTCCTATGCTACACTAAGAAAAATGGGGAGGGGTACTCATGTTGAGGAGTCCCAAGGAACAATGCTCTGGAAAGAGTGCAATAGGGGAACCACATTCTCTATTTTGAAAAGCAAACAGACCCCTATTTATTCAATCTAGGGGTCAGCAGAAATGGAAAAAATCCTCTGAAGCTTTATTTATGATAGCCCATAAGTGGTTATAATTGTGTACCACCTGGAGAGTGACAAGGTTGTCTTATGGAACACTCCATCTCAACAAAGCTCATCACTACCATGAAAATTATTGACTGGTCAACTGCAGCTAGTGCAGATTTGGAAAATAGCATGTGTGACCAGGCAACAGAGTGGGATCCCAATGAAAATGACTGATGGGTCCCTGAAAAATAATAGAAATAAACATAAAAGAAATGAAGTCACTCACCTCTTTTACAAATGAGCCAGGGTGTGGATAATAGTAATGGTGGTAGCCAAAAACCTTCCAAGGAAGCAATTGCCAGATCATGTAAATAATGAGAAAGAGCTGTATTAGGCATGGTCCAAATACCAGCCTGTTCAATCTCCTACAATGGGCAATACAACCAAGCTGCCAGGGACATCAAGATATGGTGAACTTGATGAGATAAGACTTTTCCTCCAAGGAAAGCCTAGAGTAAGTAATACACACCAATTGATGAATCCAGCCTGTCAATATGACAGGGGATAAGTCATGTGGATTAACAAATAGTGACATGAACCCTGAAATCCTTCAGTGCATACAACATAACACCGAAGAGACCTAAACTGGTCATAAAAGATGATCCAGACCCAAGCATTCATAAACATGGGAAATGGTGGGAAGATGAAAAGGAAAGCCTTATCTCCTTCTCTAGTCACTGAAGTTTTGGGAAGAATAGACCAACTGGGATACAACAGAAGGATGGGCATTCCAATGAGTGGTGAAAGCATTGATCTGAGGCATCCTGAGACAAGAGCAGATCCAACAAAAAACTTGTGGATGAAACATCTATTCTGTGGGAAGAACTTTGTTTGGACAATATAACTGATCAGCCACTAAGTTCATAACACCTGGAACATGACATGCAAGGAGAACAATCTTATGATTGTGGGCCAAAAATGAGAAGATCCACTGTCTGAAAAGAAATGAGACCTGAAATGAGTGCTCCTTGCTTGGAAGTGTAGGAGACCACCATGGAATTGTCCAAGTGAAGAACTACCACCTTTCCTCGCTAAAAGTCAAGAGCCAGAGACATAGTTTGTTGAACTGCTAGAAGCTCTAAAAGACTGATATGGAGAGAAAATTTCTTTTCTATCCAGAAGCCCTGGAATTCTGTATCCCCTACATAAGCTCCCCATTCCTGGAGAGAAGCATCCATGAAAAGATGTACTGTCATGTGGTCCCTGTTCAAAAACCAGCCAAGATCAAGTGGGCTGGAAGACAATAGGGTCACCGGACAATCCAATGCATCTGTGCAAATATTCCATTTTTCCAATAACAACCATCGAATGGGAACACATGTGGGCTAACCCAAAGTCATGAGTGATTCCAAGGATGCCCACATCCCCAAATGAGATGGAACTGCCTGCATTGGTGGAGAAGATGATGACTGTATTAGAAGAATGGCCCATTTCATGGCCTGTAGGTAAACGTGAATTGAAATGGATGAGGTACTGTGTAGGAGTAAGAATAGACATCTCTTTTTTTGATGAGAAATCCAGCCCTCCTAGCTTTGGATCAAAGAGCTTGAGTGTGAAGCTCTGCCAAGTGGCAGGAAGGGGCAAGAAGAAGCCAGTCATCCATATAATGGTGAGTGTGAATGGCCATTGATTGAAGATGACATGAAAAAGATTGGACTGTCTGGCAAAAAAAGTATGGGGTAGATGTGAGACTAAATGGTAGAGCATGAAAGTGGAAAAACCTATCTCTTTTGCATGAAATGGAGATACTGATGTGAAGATTCCATGATAAGAATATGAAGGAAGGCATCTGCAACATTGAACTTTGTCATCCATAAACTGGGTGCAAAGTGTCATCGAAGGGAAAGAAACGACTCCATGGTATACCGAGGGGGCAGGAGGAAACGATTGAGATGAGAAAGGTTAATGACAGGTTGCGAGAGGCCAGTGTCAAATGAGAATAGTGGAGACAGGCCACATTCACCAAGATTCCATGGAATCTGGAATACCTGCAAAAATCGACTATCAGAGAAAAGGAGCTTTTCTGAGATCTCTAAGGGCTGAAGAAGAAAGTCAAACACCCTCGAGCAAGGCATCTCTCTCCAAAAAATCTATGCAACAAACCAACAAAAAGATCAAAAAGAGAGCAGAAGCTGATAACCTAACCAAAGTAGAAGTCGATAAGTGACTATAATCCTTTGAAAATTGAACAGGAGATCTGTGAAAGGCCTCAGACAACAGTTGGAAAGAACTAAAAAAATGCAAAACTGTTGTAAGGGGCAGTCAGATTTGGAAAACGGAATTAGGTTAAGATGAATAGGAACATCAAGCCTAGAACCCCAAATAGGAAGAAGCGGATCTAACCTCTGAGAATCTAAATATAGGTCCTCCAACTGATGTAAAGCTAAGGCATTCTGATCCAATAAATAGAGAGAACAAGGCATAGCAGCACCCTCTCTCATTTGATCTGCAAATCTCTGAGCAAGTACAGCAATGTCTGGCAAAGGTGGAAAGACTACATAATGAGCTGAATGACTTTCCACTAACAAAAAGTAGAAGAGTCGTAATCCACAGGAGAAATGCTCAAGACATTACAAGCTTGATGTACTATTTGCAAAAACGGTGCATCCAAAGTTCATAATTAGTTGTCTGAGTAAAGGAAGGAGCTGGAAAAAAGAGTCCAAGTTCTCACCAGTGTGCTCCTGATCCCTGCAAGCTCAGCCTCTGAGCCAACGAGAAGAATCATCAGATTTCATGTAAGACGCCACCTCTCTGTATATGAGGAATTGGATGTCCTATGCAGAAAGGGGGCATTCCCCTGACACCTGGGTAATGTTAGACTCCAGAAATGGCAGAATAGGAGCACTAGAAGACCCTGTATCAGAGACATGAATGTGAGAATTTACATCCGAAACATCTTGGGATATATATATATTTTTTTTTTAATTTAAAAAAACAACAACAACAAACTCAAAACCCAATAAAAAAATTGTCCAAATTATAGGTATAACTAAAGTTATACAACATGTAAGAGAAACCCGCAGCAATCATGTGAAACCATCATAATGTTCTGCCATCAAGAAAAGTGAATAGGAAGTAATAATGTGTAGTTTATATACAGATCTGGTATAGGGGGTGCATTGACATCGGTGGAGAGAATCATAAGATTTAAATCACTAGAGGCAATACAGTGGGTTATAAGGGCTTGAGCAAGTGAGGTACATTCATACCAATGTACAGATGGCAGAGAAGAGAAACTTTTGTCAGGATAAAGCTAAAATGTGAAAGGAGGTGTGTTTCAGAAAAAAAAAAGTTTTGTGGTTTAAACAAACAAGTTTTCTTGACATCACTTTATGAATATTTTATGGGACTTTACATTTTTAACATTAAGAAATACATTAATGCCCAGATTAATGACTTGTTTTTATAGTGTTTACTGGTGTATTATATTAAGTAATCTTATGATTTTATCTGTTACAGCACTCAGTATAAAGAACTGAATAAAAATTTAGATGAAATCTCTCACTTTCTAGGTAAAGTACATATGCATCCCAGCAGTAATTGGTAAGGTTAATTACACTACTGATGGTATTTTTGTTTCCTTTTTTTATGTGACTCATATGTTATTAGGAACTCTATAGCCAACAAAGTCATGGGTCCACAGAAATTTGGTGGATAAATAGGTTACAAAAATATATATAAAAAAAACAGTGAGGTTCATATGAACCTAATGGTAGTTCAAGACTTAATTGTAAAGTTTCAGTATTCTTAAGTATTGAATGGACAAGAGAATACTAAAATGCTCCTTCAAATCCAATTAACTATTTAATAACAAACATTATCATATTACAGATCACAAAGCCACAATTTCTACACAATTTTTTGTTTAAAAGCAAGTGTGTTTTATTGCTAGAATAATATAAATATTGAATCATAATACAAACTAAAAGATAAATGCAATATCTTATTGATTAAATGTCTTACTGTCTGCATGTGTACCTTAAAGATATTTACAAAGTGGAAAGGCATATTCACTTTGGCAAATTTTTCCATGATATCTAAAAAAAAAAAGAGGATTTCTGCTCAAAAGAAATCATTTACAATACTAAAAAATGTAAATTTAAGTATAGCGTATTAGTGTTAGTTTGTTGTTAAGCAAAAAGGTGCACAGTGGATTGTCAGTGCTGTACCCACTGTACAGACCAAACCCACATTTTAGTGTTGTAAGTCCTCAAGTTTGCCACTGAACCACTGGTGTTCATTAGTGTATTAAACTAAGTCACTTTAACAGCCACTACTCATATCTACTCCTCTATAAAAGTAGTATACAAAAAGGATGCATTTTGATACATCAACCACTTCTCTCACGTATGATCAGTACAGATGTATGTGTTTAACGGTGATGCATTCATAGCTAAATGTACATCCAACACATAACAAATTGCCTACTCTAACATATTAGTACTTTTATGTATTTTGATTTATCAACTTCAATATGAACAAAATGTGTGAAGTGTCTGGATTCAAAAGTTTAGAAATATTTTTATTTCATTCTATAAACATTAAATACAACAAATCTCAATAACTGTTACTTATGTGCCTATCAAATTGGCACAATCAGGGATAACTAGTTGTATTTATCTTTAGCAATATGAAGTTTGGAACAACAGCAATTCAGCAGTTACACTTTCCTTCAGCAGTATATATATATATATATATATATATATAATGCATATAGACAAGCGTGGCGACATGTTATGAAGCAATAACATCTTTGGCAAGATAACTTTTCTGTGTACACTTATAGCTTGTCTCTGCAATGTTTAAAAATCATGCCAGCTACACACTTTCATGCTGTCTTTCATTCAACATGGTTTGTGCAATGAACTTATATGAGTTCAAACTGGACAAAACATTACCGGTTTTGAGTTGATAATCACAGATAATCAACTTCATTCTCAGTGACACTCAGAGGGTTGAGTGGATTCTGCACACTCTCCACCTCCTCGGACACAGAAAAAAACGTTCTTTACAAGTTCTGATTTGATAATCACAGAAGCTTCATTCTCTGTGACACTCAGGTGGTAGAGTGGACTCTGTGCACTTTACCTTCTAGGACCCAGTGAAACAATGTTGTGTACCAGTTCTGATTTAATAATCACAGCAGCTTTGTTCTCCATGACACTCAGGTGGTAGAGTGGACTCTGTGCACTTTACCTCCTATAGTATTTCAGTGGTGTTTCCTTAACAGTGATAGTATTTTAGTGGTGTTTCCATAGCAGGGATAATATTTCAGTTGGCATGGATACTAGTGGTAGTAGATTTAACTTTCTTCTTACTGCTTATAGCTTCCTTTGAGTAACCAGGTTTATTTTCATAAATATTTTGGTATTTTACACTAAAGTGTAATACATGTAAATTTATATACCATTCCTGTCAATAGGGTCAAAGCTATCAGTGTATTCTTATATGGGTATGTCGGGAATACAAGTGCAAATATCTAACAGAATGGCTGTATGCATAACATGACAGTTTTTAAAACACAGTTCAAGAGTTTGCAGCTCAAAACTTGCATAACAAATCATAACTAACCAATTACCATTTTTGTTCTCTGGTACATGGTGTCACCTGATTGGTTGAATTTAAATTCACATATCCAAATCAAACAATCACATGAGATATTTGTAGTGCCAGAATGTAAATCAGACACTGAGTTGTCTTTGTCATTAACATCCACTAACTTGGCCATATGCTCACAAGTAATAATATAATATTTTTAGTGACATAAACTAGAGAATGTGTAAAGCAGTTTTATTTCGTCTTGTCCTGGTAACTTTAGGCAATCAAGTTCCTGAAGTTACCATATGACTTGACAGTTTTTCCTACCCAATTTATGGTTATGCACATCAATAGAAAGTACACTAAATGTGTGTGTTTTGCTTTAAATTGTAAGAAAGACGTCAGTACTTCCCATACACTTACTAGCAGAATCTGTTACATTACGAAAAGGATTCTGATTTATATGTGTATCTGCATGGTTTTTATCTCTTCTGAAAATCTGTATTGTTGTTTTAAACTGTTAATATTATAATTGTAAGAATGACTTTTTTAACACAGTAAAACAAATTTACACACAAGTGTTATGATTCAATTATTTGGTAAATCACTTTGAAAACGAAAATTCAAAACTTCCTGGGTTTTTCTGGAATTCTAAATTTTGCTCAATGTTATTATAATAGAAATGTACGATGTTTCTTACTCATCTTCTTTAAAATTACACAACATTGTTTCACTGGGCCCTAGGAGGTAAAGTGCACAGAGTCCACTCTACCACCTGAGTGTTACGGAGAACAAAGCTGCTGTGATTATTAAATCAGAACTGGTACACAACATTGTTTCACTGGGCCCTAGTATTTCAGTGGTGTTTCCTTAACAGTGATAGTATTTCAGTGGTGTTTCCTTAACAGTGACCCACTGTTAAGGAAACACCACTGCTGCCAGAATGAATATACAACCTATTTCTGTGTATCATGTACAACACATTGCTTTTGCATGACAAATTGGTTTTTTGAAGCAATCTTTACTAAATGATGTCTTTTAGACAATACTGTGAGAACATCTCAGTCACTGCAATAATACGAATGTCAACATGAGATGAAAAAACTATTTCTGATTTTAGACATATGACTTTAATATCTTATAGCATTTCTTGACTTACAAAATACGAGTCAATTTTTCTACATGGTGTTGCACACAAGTATCACACCAGATGACCGTATCATCTTTTGGGAATAAAGGAGATAAAGTTTAAAGAAATCACACATAAGAAACTACACAGAGAGCTATATTACATCCCAACCACATTACACTGGATGGACTTTACAACCGTAGATGAAAAGTTTACTCACTTTTCTCTGAAAGACTCAAGTTTCTAAACATTGTAATCAAAACATTCCGTTGATTCATGCTTTTATTGTTAGTTGTTAGTATAGGAACCTTCTCCTTTTCTGACCAATCAGTACCAACATATGGATAAGTTTTAAAGAAACCCCCACATCTGGGTGAAGGAATTTAAATTTGATGGTATAAATATTTATATAAACCATAATACATGCACATATATCATCTGCTTAGATATGAACAACATCGCTCTCACCAAAATAGTCAAGCATGTTTGTAAGCATAGTTATTTTATTGGATGGGGGGCAGTCCCTTGCTTGCTCCCCTCTTCTGCATCTAGGTTTACTAACCTTATTCAAATTGCAAACTGCTTTGAATGGTTTTATTAAAGCCTTCAAAATGTAATTTAGAACACAGTGTATTTGGACTTTTTTTTATTATATAAGCTTGAAATTAATGATAAATATCAATAACATATAATGTATAATTTCCCCAATCTCAATTTATCTAATAAGGAAAAGTTAAAAAAAGAAAAAAAGATCACTGCTATAACAGTGCTATTTTTCTTATAGCTAATTTTAACCATATTCTTGCTGTCAGATTTTACCACTTCATAATTGCTTATGCATATTATTTATATTACCTGCCCAAAAGTTCTTTGGGTTCATATTTGGCATAGAAATCTTTGGCCACATCCTTGTCTGGAAGATCATCTGTCTCTTCTCTAGAAGGAGAAACCATTTTGAAATGACTACCACCACACCACCAGCAATTTCTTCAGTTGGTCCAAACAGTCATTCCAACGTTTAGAATTGGTGATAAACTTCTTCCACTACCTATAGCTTGATATTTTTAGTTACAAAAAATCCATGATTCTTTTTATTTAAGAAGATGAAAATATAACTTCATTCAAAAATACTTATTGGCAAATAAATATGAAACTATCAAAATATGCAGTGAACAAACTACTTAATGGGAAAACTAAATATTTTATAATGGAAAGTACATCCAGGTAATCAACCACATAAATCACACAGAAATGAAAACTACTACAGATACTGACTGTGTCACATGATCTTTCATCAGAAAATTAAAAATGTTCAGGATAATTTTATAAATAATTGCATTTACTGTTGCCTCATTTTTCTAATGAATCAGTGACATAATACAGGAGCCAATAACTGAGTTTTATAAGTAATGATATAATAATGGTTTCAGTAATACTATATAGTGTAAAATGAATTTCAAACATGTACTTAGCTCTGAAATACTAGAAGATTTTCCTTGTTAAGTTTGAATTCATGCTGTCAACAAAACACAAGAGTCACGATTTTTGAAACATCCTTTACACATTTGCATACCATATACATCACTTACCCATAATACTTCACTCTCCCACTTTCCACGTGACTTACTCTGCATGTGTCGATGGATCTTATACAAGTTCTGCTATCCCACCATAAGTTAGATTTGTTTGAAAGTTGCAGTCATGATGAAAATTTGATTGTGGGAGGGAAGGTATTTCACAGGTATTTGTTTTAAATTCATTTTAAATCTTAAAATGTAAAATATAAATAAAGCAGGTTTACCTCGGAAATACTGAAAGCCAGAATACCAACATTATAAAGGAGGTGTGAACTGATGAACCACAACTATAAGGCAGGAAGATAAGTTATCTAGGCTTTAAAAAAAAAACTAGCCAAGAAGAGTCACAGTAGAATCCATAACAAGAAACAAATTCTTAAAACTGGAATTCAGGAAGAATGAGTAGAGTAGACTAGCCCTACAAGAAGTAAGACTGGACATAAAGGACATTCAGAAAGAAAGTATTTTTCTCGGCAGTGTACCTCTCCATCCATGATCCCCTTGTTGATAGTGACACAGAGGTATGTTTAATGAGCATGATTTTGACTGCTGGATAGATGAAATAATCAAAAATGGTAATAATTTCAACCATTATTTTCTATTACTGGATAGTTGGAATAATAGTAACAATTGGAAATACTAGTTGATTATTTTTGTGATATTAATCTATTATTATACAGGACACAAATCAATGCTCACATGTAATAGATTATTTAATCGATTTAATCACGCAGTTCACTGAGAAGACTGAAGACTGTTGACCTTAAACATTTATCCAACCTGTAAGAAATGCCAGTGAAAGGGAAACTGTCATTCCCAAATCAAAGAAGATGTGTTTAGCAGATGGAGAAGTTTGCATGGCCAAAACTAGTGGAATATTGAGTACGCCCATATTGAGGCTATGACTCATGAACAGCCCCATCCAGAGTAGAAGTGAGGCTAGGAGGACAATGCAGTGTGAGGAAACCACTGAGCAAGAAATCTCCAATTATCCATGTAAGAATGACAACTGATACTGAAAAGAGAGTTATACATAATGGACAAATCATTCGATCATGGGAAAAATGAAGATGGGTGAATCAGTATATGCAATGTAACAATCGATTGAAACTATTTGGCAACCAAAAAACCTTGATAAAGGAACTGTCATGAGATATCCAAAGATTACAATTAGGAACCAGGAATATCTAGGTAACAAATGAGACTGGAAAGATCTATGAACAGTCATTGATCTCTCTGAGGTATCACAAAACTCAACCTCAATATCACCTTGGAGTGGAACAGGTCTGAAACATAAAGATCCAAAATCAAACAGAAACTGGAAGAGGTAATAAAAAATCAAAGTGAAGAATCAGAAACCCAAGGCAAACAAAGTGAAAGGTCCAGAAAATAGAATATAAAGTTTATGAATACAAACCTAGTTTTCAAAGTTATCCCTAAACTCAATCATGAGAAGATAGGGAAAATAAATTCAAGCACAAAAATCATCTCACACAATAATAAGTACCCTCAGGTACAACTGAAAAGATAGAATGTATATGAGAAAAGAAGAAATGTTGTCAGGATTGGGGCCAGCACTACAGCAGGCAAAAACCAACTATGGAGACATTGAAGCTGTGAAGGTGATGATGGCTAAGTTTAAAATAACCTTCACTGGTATGCAAAATTAGTGTCCACATAAATGTTATACCCATCAGTAATATCATTATACAATGGTAGGAAAATATGGAGCTATCAATGCTGAAAATACAATGATTTCCACCTGCACACTAAAGACAAATTATGTAAGGCTTTCAATGAAGGCACACAAACTGACAAAGTCATCACAATACAACTTTTAACAAAGAAATTTAACTTATAGTGAGAAAGCACAACTTATGTAAGATTCACCGATGCATGAGCAATACTTCATGCACAAGGTAGAATATTATGGATAAGTGAAATATATATGATATGCAAATAAATAAAAAAACATTCAGAAATTTTGTGTCACTTGTTTTATTGATAGCATGAGTTCAAACTCAGTATTTCACAAATAAGCCTGCCTGATTCGAATATTAAGATGATCAATTTATTTAGTTTTGATGTATATTCCTTTACTCATCAGTAATAATCTGAAATACTATAAATGTTTGAATAACATTTGACATTCCACCACAATTATCTGTCATTATTCAGTGGACTAACAGGTTATTTATTTGCGAAATTCTTTTATTCACCAAAACATTTTGCAAATAAATTATTAATTTTTATACTTCCGAATATTATTCTGCATTTTTAGCAAAGTGTATGGATTTAGGATTAACCTAAGTTTCTTGAGCTGGCCATACCAAATCAGATATTATTGGATTTATGACTGAAAGTTTTGTTAATAGAAAGGATACCTAGTTGAGGGCCCAATGCATTCCAGTTATCATGGGTTTTAGCTTTCTTGTGTATTTATGAAATTATGTACTTATGCTATACAGAAGTAATTTTGTTAACTTGAGTTTGTTTTTATTTCTAACCCAAAGAGTTAGCTTATTTTTGATCAGAACTTAATGATAAAATTTAAGTAAAAAGTCAGTGGAATAAAGCATTTTATGCAACAGCTTACTGAGAAGTGAAAGCAAGTTGTTATACCCAAATGTAGACTTTTACAAATACAGAAAGGTGCCAATAATTATTGTACCAATATTTTAACTTAATGAAAGGCTTTAACTTTTGAAAATATCTAAATCTACTCCTAAAAATTTTAAACTAAAACTTTCCATTATCTTCAGATTTGTACTTTTTATGCATTTTCCTTCTGTCCTAGAACAAGCTGACTGAAATACAAATTACAATTAACTTTGAAAGAAAAAAAGTTACAGACTATTGAATCTATGAGATAATGATCCATTACAATCTTTGTCACTCAGAAGCCTGGGAAGTAGTAGCACCTAAGATGTATTAAGATATTGAATAGGCACAAGCTGAGGCTATGACTCATGAACAGCCCCACCCAGAGTAGAAGTGAAGCTGGGAGGACAATGCAGTATTTTTCATATCTCAGCCAGTTTGATAAGCCATGGTATCAGGTGAAAGGCCTCGTTGGCACTGGACATAGCAGATGTGGTTAACATATTATAACATATTATTCTTTACTTTCACTCATAAGTTCATGGTAGTACACACAGGACTCAAAACAAAATGTAACATGCAATTTCACTGTATTGGAGATACATCTTTACAGTTCTGAAAATATAAAACATGAATACTTCTGTATTTGAATAAATGTTAAGGATAATTTATTAAAAGAAAATCGAGGTTTCTGAATAACTTATTCAATTTTCTAATTTATACAAATCAGTGACATCTAGATTTCCAAAATTCTTCAAGTTAGTCCTATCAGTCAAGTACTATATGATAGTCTTCATGGGTATCCTGTTTATATCTCTTAAAGATATTTAATCCTTAAAATATTTCTTACTGTAGGTAGTTCTACATGTTCATCTCTACTAAAAGTACCTGAAATTTTTCTCACAGGCACTACTAGAAGTTAATGTTCTAACTTCAAGATAGATGATGATGATATGTATTTACTATTTATTTGGACTTTCAATTTTGTAACTAGACATTTTTTTAATGTAGAGATAAGGTCAAATAAAAATTAGGAGAAATTAATTTTACACATAATTCAAAGTGAGTATCAGAATTGCTATTCCTGTTCTATACCTTCTACAGAATAATCTTAACCCTAATTTCAATTTTTAAATGACTTTTAAATAAAACTGATAAAAGTTACACTTCAATTTAATCTAGTTCACACCATAACAGTTGTTGTTCATACAATTTTATAACATAAGTAGTTTCACAGCCACTATGTCTGTCACATCTAAGGCTGTCTGATGATCCCTGATAATGGGATAAAGGCCTCTTCGGCAGTGGATTTGGAAATATAAAGTGGTTTACATAATTTTATACATTATTCTTTATTTTCGATCATAATTCCTTAGAATTACGAAACACAATTAACACTTTAGTATACTTGTTATCATATATAAGTAAACTATAGTTAATTTGGATTAAAATCATTAAATATTAGAAAAAACATACTATAACATTTCTCTACAGTACACATATTTCAATAAAATTCCAAAGTTTTTGTACTTAAAAATGCTGCTAACTAGCCTTTTCAGGTTTACTACACCTCTTTTAATAACCAGATCTCAAGCTACATCAACTTTTCTATATGAATTTGAAAACAAATACAACACACTTCATTCTAATTGTCAAAAGAAAAACAGCTTTTTATGTAACATTACAACAGCATATAATCTAGGCTACATATAGATTTCCTGGAATATCAAACAAACCCACTAATATAAGCTGAGCCTTTGTCATGAAAGGTACATTCTGGTTTGGTAGCTCTTTCATCTGGCCTAATTTTCTCTTCATTGACCTCAATTTAGTTGATTTTACACACACAAATGTCAGTAAGTTCACACTATACCTGTACATCACAAAAGCACAATTTTACCATTTCTCTTTGCATGCTAGTGCTTTGTTAAACAGTATAACACCTATACTGATAGAGATCTTTCCCATTTTTGTTTTCCTTTCAATCACAGTAACAAGTTGCCTTTTTTTTGGCAACTTTCCAACATTTCTAGCAGTTTCATACTGTCAGTGTCTTTAGTACATCAGCTGCCACCAAAAGATATTCAAGATAATCAGGAACTACAGAGATATCAAAAGCAGACTTTGAACACTTGTTTATGTGAAAGTGTTTTCTTCAGCTGAAGCAATTTTATTTTCAAATGGATAAACATATCGGATATCATCACATTAATACTAACATTGTGTACATGTGATTAAATGAGAAAGCATAAATAAATTGCACTGAATGTATAAAATGTCTTTTACTCTAGGAGAGTATATACTGACATCATTAGAAATTGCTCAAACATTTTTATGAAAAGATATTTCATTAAAAAAACTTTCTTACTTTCATTTATGTCATGTATATAATCAATCGATTACCTACATAATAAAACAAGGCCAAGAAAATTAATAGTTCTATTCTAAATACATAAAAATATCCAGAACCAGCAACACTACAAAAAGTGTCATTTCATTACTTCTCACTAGTTTGTAAAATTACCAAAAAAATTAATCTTATTCAAAAATGCATAAAAAATTATACAGGGTAAAATATGCCTTTTAGGGTTTTTATATTTCTTTTTAATGTGATTTACCAATATTTTTTAAATCTAGGTATTCTACACTATCATGTACATATCCAGTGAGTGTGTGTATCCAACATAAAAAACACTGTCAGACTACCTTTAAGATTAAACATTAAAAACAATTGATCTCCAAATCCAAAAACTTTAAATGTTATATACACTAGCCATATTAAAAATGCATTATCAAGCTGGATATGATATAGCAAAGGAAATATTTATTTTACACATATATTAAAAAAATAAAAAATTCATTCAAAATATACAGACTCTGTCAGTCTATTTACCAGACAAAGATTATTTACTTTCTGATCAACTATAGCAATAAAATACCTTAACAGGGTGATGAGATACAACTGTGAAAATACTAGTCAATAATATATACACCAAAACATAAATTTAATCCAAAAATGTATATCAAATATACATTACATTTTATAAAGGAAAATTGAGATCCGAATATTTCAGCATTCAACAGTCTTCAAAGAAAAAGACAAATTCAAAATAAATAGTTCACTTAAACATGTGACCATGATAAGAAAGTTTGTTAAATTAGAAGGAAGAGAACATGAATTTTGTAACCAAGATCCTGTCTTTAAAATTTTTTTGAAAGGCCTACTTCAACTGAATAATTCCTTTTCTCATATTTTTATTTCAAATATTAAAAAAATTCCTCTAACCATAAAAAAAAATATTATCCTGATTATATGTAATTAAAACCAAGCCATAATTAATACAGGTTAAACAAGAAGTGAAATAAGTTTGTAAATCACCTAAAACTTGTCACATACAAGATTTATATTAATTCAATCACTATAAGGGAAAATATTAGTTATTGAATTAAAGCTATGAGATAATGATACTTTTTTAAAATTCAAATAAAAACTAATACATGATAAAAAAAAGGATCACTTTTTGTAAAGAAAATTATTTATAGTTGATTTTTTTCCTAAAGATTAATTAACAATATTTTCATGTTTGTGTTTGATGTGAAACCTAATTTTGGTAATTTGTTTTCCTGGAATGAGGATTTCTTATTTTAGCTACTGTATCAAAAATTTCCCATTAAACAATGCCATTCCTAAGCAGCTGTTGTAGATAAGTATTTACCTGCAGCACAAGGTTACTTCCCAATAAACCAAAAAAAAATAAGACCAGAATAATACAAAAAATTATCCTTTACCTCAACCATTTTCTACTTCATGTAACATCAAGAACATGGTCCCATTATCTTTATATACCAGTAAAACTAAACAAGGTACATACCATGACAAAACTTAATTATGCTACTGAGAAAAAAATAATCCCACACATATGAAAGTATGTCATATATGTACTTTTAGAAATCATTTGACAGCACATAAGGACTTTCTGGATAAAGTAGTCAAGGCATTCTTTCTGGTATGACTCCAAGACTAAATCAGAACTTTAAACTATAATGTGTGTTACTATCTGTTCCCTTGACCTACTTATCATGAAAATATTACTGGCTAAGTTAAGACCTTGACACATCAATTCCTGTTGGGCTCCATTATGACATCTTGGATTTCAGTTTATATGTAAAAGAACTGTCAGAACAGTTTGTGAAAGCAGACTTATACTAGTCAGACCTCAATAGTGAATCACTACATGCATTCCTGACCACATTCACAAACTGAAATAAAATATATACAACTGTTATGTAATATGCCTATAGACTTGGATGAAAAACTACTGCAGGTGGCTGAAAATAATACATTAACACACATGAACAATAAACTTTGTTTTTGGATTCACTGTGAAAAGAAAAAAGAAAAGAGGAGCAAGTGGATTTTTTTTAGGTTTTAAATCTTTGTATTTGTTATAGTTTTCATGCTATAACTTTTAAATTAGTAAGCGAATGATAACAAAATTTGGGAGATTATCAGTAAACATTACAATGCTTTCATACGCAAAATATCTAATTTCTTTTATTAAGTCTTAATGTTTTTAAAGCAATGTTTCTTTCATGCCTTTTTTTCTTTATAATGTCCGAATAGTTATCAAACATTTCTTAAGAAAAAACTTTATATTTTGTATGTTATTCTCTGTACAGGTTTGGTAGATTTGACGGACCTCGCAACCACCATAAAAAATTAGGAAATAAACAAAATTATGCCTCTTTCATTATAGAATTAACACAAATTATAACACAAAAACATAAATGTTTAGATGAAATAGTTTAAACCTCATAACATTATACATTTATATATATCTATTATATTGACCTTTCACCCGTGCCTGGCTAACAATACAGAAGTTACAACAATGAGGCTCATGTGCACTATCAAATAACATAAAGGTGACCTTTGGTCTGTACAAAGTAACTTGTCTTGGCTGTGTTTTAATCAACTAGTATTTTCTAAAATACAGTCACATTTCAATTATTATACATTATGTATATATATAGATTATTGCTATTTTGAAATAAGTTCTTAAAGTTATTGTTCCTAAACATAGAACAGTAAATAAAGAAGTACAGCAAACAATTATCTCTTCTAGTTACAACCTTTGTACTTGACATTGCTGTTTGACGTAGGTTGATAAGCCTTTAAATATTTTGCACGTGGAGGATATGAAACAAATATTTTTTGTAGGTTTTATACATACAGTTGAATAACTAAAAAATCATAAATTACTACATCAATACCATAGAATTCTACTATAATTTATCAATCTTAGTAATTAAGCTTAATTTGGGTCTAAAAAAATGAAATTTCGAGCAGACTAAAGACACAACCTACCTCATTGAAATCTTGGTTCAAAAGAAAGAACACGTGGAAGGATAGTTAGAAAGGCTGAGAAAGCCACTAAGGGGACATTCTGAGTTTCCAATTGGTTATTCATGTCATAAACAGAAGTAAGTGTATATAATGAAGCATTTCCAAGAATGGAAAGAGGTGGGTGGGGTGCAACTGTGTTTGATTTATTATGTGAACAATATCTTAGCAAATAGAAAACATAAGATCTTCTTATTTTATATTCTAGCTTGTCAATATCTGTAATTTGAGTTTCTAATTTGTATGAAACTATAGACTTAGTATTTTGACTTCAAAAACATCCAATTTGAACCAGTGCTGCATTCAACATACCATGTGACACACAGAAGTTTATGTTTATCTGTGTTTCTTAATATTTACTTTTAAATTAACAAATCGAGTAATGTATAGTTCTAAAATTTGAATTATAATCTACAGTCTGAAACTAAACTCACTGACATAAATTCATGAAATAGTAGTTCAATAAAATTTTGAATGCAAGTCAACAAATGATATGACATGGTCTTTCACCTGTGACCCATCTCGAAAGGGTTAATATTCGAATAGCTCAAAACACCAAGACGTTTGGAATGTATGTATGAATGCATTTTTAATTGATTTTATGTTTTACAGTTCAGTATTTGAACTAACAGTATGTACTGGCTAAAAATCTACAAAAATATCCATCATTTTCCAAGGTTTCATTTTACCTTATCTATCTTTATACCAGAGATAGAAATAATGAAATAAAATTTCATTAACTTCAGGAAAAGCTATCAAGAAGATTACTTTCCTTCATTTAATGTTGCCTTTCCTCATGAAGTATTATCCTTCATTTAATCTAGCAATATGTTCACTTTCATTGGTCATAACTAAAGGAATACAGATGGACCATGCATTCCCAATCAGGAAAGTCAACTAAAAAGATGAAATTCATCAAGCAAAGTTAAATTCCTCATGAATGTGGGAATGTAATATTTTGATCCCTGTTATACTGAGTTTTAAGTTTTTTATGAGCTGAATCTGCTTAGAGTGGAGGGGTGTAGTGTTTCAACATTCGTACTGGTCTTCCTCAAATCCCTCAGCACAGAAATCTAATCATACACTTCACCAAAATTTCAAATCCAGTACCATCTACAGTTACTGAACTCAGATTATTTTCTCCCAGATATCATTGTGATCTCTCAGTATGAGTATGTTAAGCATAACAAATTCTTGGAGACTGGAATTAGATGAAAAACTTTGTAGGTAAAACAATTCTGATCCTATATTTGTGTGATGTAATAAATATTACGAGGTTAAATGAAAAATAACACTTGCTAAGAATGCCTTTCAAAATATGAAAGCTATATTGACAAACATTAGTATATCAACAGAAGTAAGAGAAAATGTCTTACAATGTTACATTGAGTACATACTATGTATTGATGCAAAACATGGACAATAACAAAGGGAAGTTTAGAGAAAACTTGAAGCAAATGAAATGTGGTTCTTAAGAAAGAATTTTGCAAGTTGTATCAAGTAACAGTACAAGCAAATACAACATAATCAAGAAAATAAGGAAGAAACAAGCTGAGTTTATAGGTGATGTGATAAGGAATGAAAAGATGGAGCACGTAGTAGCAACAAGCAAGATAAAAAGAAAGGGAAGACAAAGAATAAAGATGCTTGACAGACTCACGCAATGGTTAGGAACCATGAATAACAACACACAACTGCTGAAGAACAACAGAGAAATGGAAAGTCATGATTGCCAATGCCTGCATGCAGGCATGACACTGGAAAGGAATAATAGATTTTAGAACTTTGTGACTCAAACCCATAAATAAACTAATAATGCTAAATATACACAAGTACAAATGTGGGGCTGACTGATGGCAAATACTTCTAACAACGCTAAAAATGAACAGAATTATCAACTTAAATTAGGGTCAATTGTGATTAAATATATATCTATTGTATAGAGTGCATAATGGTGGGATCCTTTTTGGTGATATCTATATAATCATGAATGCAGGTAACTTTAATGATGAAGCCAAACCTAAACTGTACCTCTGAACACTCTCTTGTACACAGCCTGTAAATTTTATTACAGATATTGTGAGTAATTTCAACTAATGGTAAATAAGATACAATAAACATTCAAAAAGATATATGATATTTTTTTGTCTTTATCATCAAATATTTGAATACTATTTTAACACAAGTAACAAATATTTGAATAGTAAAATTCTCTATTTATTTCAGTTCTAGTACTTAGATACCTTTTAAAACTTAATTAGAGACATGGAATGCCAAAATATTTTAAGAGCCACATGTTAATCAAAATTTGTCAGAACGAGATCCATGGGTGCTATTTTCTGTATGTTGTCTTCCAAACTACTAATATCTTTTTATTCCTATGTATTTCATACTGTAAAACATTTAAATTTGATTTACAAAAACAATGTCATACATAATGCAAGTTCTCAGAAAATATAATTCCAGACAGTGGCTTCAGGATTTCACATATTGTATGGTTGTGTAAACTATTCCTATCTTGATATAAAATAGATATAAACTAACCATGATATAAACAAATAGCAAATATTGGTAGAGGGTTATCCCATGCTTATTTGCATGCTACAGAGGCTAGGTGGGAGCATCTAGGCTAGTGGAGGGACCGTTGAAAAATTTACCTACATGAGCACCCTTCTGAAAGTGTCTGAAGAGAGCCCATGGAGTGTAACTGGCAAAGGGGCAGAAGGAGAGGAATGGGGTAAAAGGAAAGGTTGCAAAAGACGAGAGACCACAGATGAAAAAGGAGGACTGTTGACAAAAACCTCCACCCTAGACTCCAATGAGTCAGGAAAATCTTCAAAGACTGACTGGTGTAAAAATGGAGCCATATGAAGGTCCTGCAAATAAGACATGGGTAGGTGCATCCCAACAACAGAGGAGCCAAGTTAGTAGAAAAGTCGAGGAAGACAACAGCACCAACATGGAATACACGAGGGAGCGAGCACACTCCAAAAAACCCTGAACTCAACTGAACAGCAGCCACAAACTGCAAGAGAAGGGTACAATCTTGTGGTATGCTCACCTCAACTCAACAGTTGCCAACTATATGAGAAAGCCACAGAGCCTGAGAAACTGCAGGTTGAGGTGCAGTAGCAGTAGTAGTTGTTATAATTTGAACTTCAGAATTCAAACTTAAGAGTGAACCTTGAGATACCAACATATAGTGCCTAATTTCACTTTAAAAAATTTAATGAAAGTGTAAACAACAAAGCTAGTTGTTTATCAAATCATGAAATCAAAAAATCAAAGCAAATGCAAGCAAAAGTTAGATACGTCTGCACTTTACAATGCCAAATTGAGAAGTGAAGATTGGACTTTACAGTATAGAAGACAGTTGTGCCAGGAAGATGTGTTGCACTCCTATTGGTGGAGGGTTGGCACATGCTTGTTTGCATGCTATAGCACAGCTGTATCAAGTGGAAACACATGAGGGTAGATGGGAGTTTCAAGGTTAGTGATGAGCAGAAATTGTGCATACATAGAGCAGCACTGAATGAGAAAAACTATTATGTGAGAGGATATAAAGTATTATAATTGAAATATGCCTATGCCCTACTAATATTCTTAATATAAATAAAAATGTGCAAAAGCCCAAGAATTTATTTACCCCTTAGGTACTCTATGAGTAACAAGGATCCATACTGACTGGATTCTATTAATAAAAACATTTTGCTTTTACCCAACCAGCCACCCTACAATCCAATTATCTATTTTTCTCCAACCCTCACTAATAAGAAGTAATATGATTTTTTTGTGTGGCACCTTATCAAAACTTTTTAAAACTTACTACATCAAAACCAAACTATTTTAACAGTTAATTATAACATTCCCCCCAAGAAGTTAATTTATGTGTAGTTAATTTCAATATAAAAGATTTTCATAACATTTGTTGATGACCTAGAGGTTTTCTTGAATGTATAACTATAAAGAAACTATATTTGTTTCAGCATTAATTTGAGAAATGGAGTCAACTCCAACTGAAATTGAAACATTTCATGCTAGGATAGCATGACTATAATAATAGTACCTTTTTGATAAAAGACTTAGCACAAAGGATCATATATAAAGTGTAATAGACTTAAAATAAGACCCAAAACTCAAGCGCTTTTGAATAGTTGACTATTCTTTATTGTTCTCCTGAAGAAGAATAGTCAACTATTCGAAAACGCTCGAGTTTTGGGTCTTATTTTAAGTCTATAATAATAGTACCTATTAGTATTAATATTGCTATAAATTAGCATTAATAGTAATACTAAATAGCAGTTTATTTGTCCTAACACAGCAGCATTAGTTATTCCAAAACTAAAAAACGGTCAAAGTCAAACTGTAAACGAAAATATAATTATAATACAGTTTACTTATAATAATTTACACCTATAAAATATATGTCGACTAAAATAGTATTAAAATAAATTACAATAATTATTTCTCTCATTGGATGAGTGGGATAAAAGAAATTCATTTGCCCCATAATTTAATTTTTAAAGCCACCCAATTCTACTAAGCGACAAATATACTAATCATTACTAGTTCTAGTACAGTAGTCCTAGTTACCGTTGACGGCGTAATACTTACTAGTAACATTAATAATACATTTCATTGTTAATCACTTAATGTTAGCGTTACTAATACTAGTAGTACTACTACTAGTTCAAGTAGTTGCAACTAACATGTAAATTCATTTATTTACTCTACAGAATTGTTCATAACCGAATATTTAACAAAATCAATAGCTAATGTGTACTCGCACGACTAAATCTAGACATATTACAACTGATATTATTAGAATGAAAATACATAATTATAATAATTTAACGTACCAGCATCACAATACCATGCAACTTCGACATCAGGCTTTCAACAGAATTTCTTGTTGTTGTATAAATCATCTGAAGAACGACCTCTATAATTGTTATTAAAACAAGGAAATATAAGTAATTATATCAATATTACGCCTATTATATTTTTAACATTACATTCTTTAATCATTCCAGTTTAGAAAAGGCGTTCACATCATGACAATTGTTCTTATAACAAATGGCTAAAATGAATAGTTTTCCGACCGCTTCTTTGTTTAACGTGCCTGGAGAAACGCGTCGTGATAATGGATATGGCGGTCATCCAAGGTCAAATCCTTTTCATGTCGAGATGGCACATAGAATCCAGTGTTGATCAAGCGCATGAGAATGGTGACACATTCTTCTGGACGAGATGCTAGTCCATCACCGGTTAACTTCCAACTAACAACCATTTGACTACGAGTTTTGGTCAATGTCCATATGGCAGAAATAGTGTGGTTGAAATCTTATTATACTGTTGCGTCATCGAGATCACATGACTACAGTGACGCCACGTTTCTAGAACTATCCCGTATCTT